TTAATATTTCACATTTGACGAAAAAAAACACGGATAATCCGATATTGATGAGTGGGTGCCCCTTAACCATACGAAAACTAGTGCCTCCACGGTATATGGAAAACGGAATACACGTTGATTTTGACGATCGTCTAATTTTGCACGGGAATTACGTAGAATGTCATGAAACGTGAAGATATGATGGTTTAGAAGACGTGTGTAAATTAATGTGGAAGCACGGTAAAATCGGTTCATTTAGACGGACCCGGAAAAATTCCCAGCATCGGAATTTCTGTCATGTGATACAGGAATTTTTCTTGGATTTACCGTGAAAAATTCTTGTACTCCACATGAAATTTTCCGGTGCTGGCACGGTAATTTTTCCGGGTCCGTCCAAACGAACCTATTTTGCTGTGCTGGCACGGTCATTTTTCAAGAATTTCTTTCTCCGTGTGTGGATGTCCGTATGTGTGTTCAGATTTTTCGGAAATTTTTTATGAATCTTTACAGAAATGGAGTGAAGTGAAACAGATTTTGTCCCACAATTGCTTCGTTTGGGAGCACTTCTGGGTGAAATTTCAGGTGAACATTTTGTCCTCAATATCGTTAAAACTGCACGACCGAATTAATTTTTTTAACGTCAAAATGTTCTTTGTGATAATACACGAAAAGAATATAAGATTCTTTTTTACTGTGGGAACAAACTAATTCTTAATATGAGAAATAGAATGCAAGACCTACGCCGCAACACTCGAAAATTTACTATTTAGCATATTAATTTTGAGAACAAATGAAAAACTACGACGTGCATGTAAGAAAATAGGGCTGACAAAATTAAAATGTGATGGAGTCTGTTGGAAAAATCGACATCTTTTAATAAAACGGGTAGTTCAATTTTCTTTTTAAAACTCGGGTATCTCAAAATTCATGTGAAAAATCGGCTGAAATCTCGCGTTTTCCTTCTCTTGACAGCTGTATGAATGGTATGAATGCACAAAAAAGTACAAATAACATGAAGTAGTTCGCATTGGAAGAGAAATAAAATGATTTGCCAGACTTAGAAATGGATGTGACAACAAGCTTTGACATGAATTTTGAGGTGCTCTAGTCTTAACGCAAATTTTGAGATACCTTGTTTTAAAAAGAAAATTGAAATGCCCTTGTTTTATTAGGAGATGTTAAAATTACTGCTGAAGATACACTGGGAGAAAAATGACAAAGTTCTCAAACGAGTCTTACTTGTGCCAAGAAAATAGGTTTTGAAAATTATCAAAAAATCATTTTTTTGTGCCAAACATGCAGAGAGTACGCCGGAATGAAACATTTTTGTCGCAAAAATAGATTTAGTAGTTGAAAAAAATTGCATTCTCTGTAAACGCAAGAAATGTCATTTCTAGCACTACTCCTGCGTTATTCGATACTCCCATACGTATTTTGCTCTATTTTGAAAAATCTTTGTTTTATGCGAAACAAGGAATAGTAGTTTTTCGTTTCGGCTGTCTAATAATCATAGACAAGAAATGAACCTTAAATGAAACAATAATAATGATATGATAGCAATCTTCTAACTTAGGGATAACATATTTATTGATAAATTTTCCTCTATATGGGATATTTTCATCCTGAAAAGGCACGGTCTGGTGTGAATTATCCGCCTCTTGAACTAAATATTTCGTTGATGTCGAAAGCAGAACAATTATTCATGTTTGAGAATTTCAAATTCGAATCAAAAAAATTCTTTTTGGGCAATTTTAAACTAGCGATTTTGTTGGCCCAGACAAGACTTGTTTGACAACGTGTTTGTTTTTCTCTCAGTGTAGTAAAAATTGAGATTCGTTATAGTAGTAAGTGGTAGCATAAAAGTTCAATTTTCGATTGACACGAGTAAAATTTAGAAGAATAAACACCAATTTTCACTTGGTCGGTTACAAAAATATTCCCCTCCACCCTTTCAAAATAAATATACGCAGATTAGGACGAAGGAGAGGGGGATTCTTTAAATAACACAAGTGAAAAACCATATTTAATCTTCTTTATTATCCTTGAAAATTATTAGCGTTCGAGTCTTGAGAGGGTCTGAATGTAGAATTATTTGATAGAACGAAATAATCAGCAAAATTGTGATGACATTCCATCGATGATAGTACTAGTCCCTATTCGGAAGCAAACTACTATACTCATTTATAAAAAAATACAATTCAGTAGCAAAATGGTAAAACGGTTTAAGTCAATTTTGACTATTGGCCAGTTTTCAATGAATATCTCGGAATCTAAGGGAGATAGCAAAATTTTTGTTGTAACCTTTTTTATAGAGCCGATTGAGACCTACAACAAATGTAATTATGAAAATTTTGGTATCTCCCTTAGATTCCGAAATACTCCCCAAAACCCCAACTGGGAGACAAGTCGACTTAAACCGTTTTACCACTTCGCTACTGAATTGTCCACTTGTTTATTGTCTCTGTGAAGGGCATGCATGACATCCTTAATCTTGCGAATACAAAACAAAATGGAAAAATGATCCGCCTCAAACATGTCCTCAAACCTGACACAAATTCTCGTTTACACCAATAATTTTCCCCTCAATTATGACGCAATGGCACACAAAGATGCCAAAATAGTGTGCCCGTAAGCCGTAGAATTTCCGTTCCATTGAAGTAGAAAACGAGGAGAGGATGAGAATGACACAGAAGTGTATAACGCGGTGGCTTGGGATGGCCCCAAACGAGTGAGAGGAGTGTGTAAAATTTATTTTTCGTCTATTAATAGCCAATCTGGCGTGGCGCCACTATTTTCGGTTTCTGTCTCTCAAATTTCTCACGCCATATTTGGAATTATGGTGGCCGAAACCCCAGTTTAGTGTTACGGAACGAGTCAAGGTATTCCAGCGTAAAAATATGCAATAACATTTCGACGTGAAATTTCTTTGACTCGAAAATTCAATTCGTTCGCGGCGATTCATTCATTCTCATTTCAATATTTCTCTGCTTTATGACCAAAACGGGTTTTTAAATGCTTCTGTCGAGTGCACAAAAGTGATCATCAATCAGTGTAAAAATGGTAATGTCATTATCCGATGTATGAATAATTTTTTTTCATCGAAAACTCTCAATTCCCAGGAAGGAATATGAAATCCCCGGCGATCGTAAAACCACTTGCTCGACGAGCATCTTTTCCTCCACACATGTGCATGGGCGGTATTACATTGAAGACGTAAACCAAATGAACCGAGGGACCGACATGTGAGAGCCCGTAGGCGAGCGACATACACATCTCGGATGAAAAATTTAATTCAGATGTGCGTGCAATTCACACTTGAATGGGTTAAAAAGCCATTTGTGTCGCGAACGATGCAAACCTGTTCACGAGTGCGAAAAATTGATGCACAAGAGGGAATGGTGAATGTAATTCAAATATCGATAATTAAATGTTGAACTTGAGGCTTTTGAAACATGTCCAATTACGGTGAGACAGGCTCGATAATTTTGGAAAGTCAATCATTTTTCGTTCTTTCGAAGCTGTTTAAGATTTTTTTAATCTGGAGATCAGAGAACTGACGAATTGTTGGCATGATAACATTCTGATGAGAAGCTTTTTTGTAAATATCGTTTCGATTTGCAAAAATGTTTTTAGAAAGATTTTGATATTTTTTATTTTGTCAGGTATTTCGGTCGATATACAAGGGAAAGTGATTTTTTCTTTTTAACATACAACGTTAAAAATTTTCGTCTGAATTTTCTGTCCCAAATCCTGGAAATTTTTATCGGGTTCAGTTTCCATTGAAATTGCAGGTAATTTTGTCATTGAAAAATCAAATATTTCATTGATTTTCAGATCATTCGAAGATAAAATCAATGAAATATTTGATTCATTGATTTTCTGATCATTCGAACAGAAAATCAATGAAATACTTGATTTTTCAGTTCAATTATTCCGTGAAGATTTATAAAAATCAGGAAATTTCTGGGCAAAATGGAAATTTCATGTCATTTTGTTTTTAAATATTTATACTCCATTTCTATTAAAATTCAATTCAAATTCAATTTCATGTGCCATTTCCACAGAAATTTAAGGTAATTTTATCATTGAAAAATCAGCTACTCCATTGATTTTTTGCTCAAATGATCTGAAAATCAAGATAATATTTGATTTTTCACTTCAATTACACTGTTAGAAAAAAATGGAATTTCATGGACAGTTAACTACCAATTTTCAGAATAAATTATAAAATTTTAGGTTTCACTGAAAATTCAGCAAAATTTCAGAATTTTAGGGAGCATAAAGACGAGAATTCCTTAATTTAATTGAATTTCCAATCTAATATGAATATTTAGTGACAAATTACATTGAATTTTCAGTGAAACCTGAAATCTCAGGTTTTTTGCCCTTGAATTGTATTCAGTGTAGAATTTCAATTCCTTGAAATTTCAGTGTTAATTAAATTCGATAAAAATTTCCGAAAAGTGTACCGGAAATTTCAGACAAAAATTTTTCAGTGTATTCCGTAACAATTCATAAAAATCAGGAAAATTTCGAGAAAAATGGAAATTTCTTGTCATTTTCTTCGAATATTCATGTTCCTGTTACACTGAAATTCAATTCAATTTCCACTAAAATTTCAGGTAATCTTGTCATTGAAAAATAAAATATTCCATGATTTACCGTTCGAATAATCTGAAAATAAAAAAAAAATTGATTTTCCCGTTCAATTATTCCGTGAAAACTCATAAAAATCAGGTAAATTCAGCGTAAAATCAAAATTTCATTTCATTCTGTTTTTGAATATTCATGTTCCACTGTAAATTCAATCAAGTTGTGAAATTTCCATCTCACTTCCACTGAAAACTCATAAATTTCCTTGAATTCTCCCTAAAACCTGAAATTTCATAACCATTTTTCCCTTAAATCGAATTCAATGTCACTCTCATAAGAATTACTACCATATCTTCCACAAAATTTCAAATCAATTTCCAACCGTGCAGTAATTGAAGAATTGCCGTTATTTATTTTCAATTTTTTACCTGTGACGGGAAAAGTGCTTTCCGGCAACATGTACACAGTGATAATAAAATTCCAATAGTCAGCACAGACACATCACCATCACATAATCACCCGAATGAGAAGAGTGAAATATTTCCCGAACGAAAATTGAATTGTTTCGGGATGTTTTGGCACTAAATACCGTTGTGGGAAAATACACCACCAAGGCAACCAACCCCAGTCGACGTCCACGGTGGCACTCGCACGGGGTCGGCACGCCAATGCCTCGAGCGGGGGCGCGCGCGTTAACGCGTATATTCTTGATTTGGGCGGATGGAAATCTGAGATTGCTCCATATCGGGCCGTGTGCCCGTCGTGTGGCAAACGTGCGTTACTTCTCCTCTCACATTGGTTTTTATAACTCTGTTTCACTTGAGCCTGTTGAGCTTGTTGTACTGGGATCTCGCTCTTGCCTTCCTCTGTTTTTGCTCACTACACCGTAACACATGACTGTTGTGTGTGATGCGACCATCCAGAGGTATATTTAACCCTGAGTAGCCAATGAATAAAGCTGGATGGAATTGTTAGGTATTTTGGAGTTTTTTGTACTCGTGAAATTGATTTGCTGGATGTGGAATTAATTTTAGAAGCTTGTCACCTTGGGAGTGATTGGAGAGATTATGAAAACGAAAACTCCTTTTAAGGCTTCAAATACTAAATTGGAGAGTTCGAAAGAATGGAGGGAAAATTCTACCGGAGGGGCGTGACGTAATGAAGTTCGAATGGCATTGGTGTTGAATATAGAACTATTTATCACTGGCGGAAAAATATTGAAGTTTCGTGGACAATTTGGGAATTATTTCCGTGAGAGTGACGTTGAATTCGATGAAGGGGAAAAATAATTGAGAGATTCTGATAAGCGGAGAAAATGACTGAAAAAAACCGGTAATTTTGTCGTCTATCAGACACAAGGCGTGTTGCAAGGGAGGAAAACAGGACATCCTAACCCGCGTGTTTACCGCGGGTAATCCACACGCGGGTTAAAATGTCATGTTTTCCTCCCTTGGTACTAAATCTTTGGTAAAAGGAGTCTTCATTTTCATAATCTCGCCGATCACTCCCAAGGTAACAAGCTTTTAAAATTAATTCCACATCCGGTGAATCCATTTCACGATTAAAAAAACTCAAAAATATCTACAATACTGTTATATCTAGCAATGAATGATATCCACACAAGTTGATTAATTGGTTGGGGCGGTTTATTAAGCACAATAAGATGTGTTTTGTACAAGAACTCCATCAGAGAGAATACATCAGATTCCATGTTATTCCAAAAAGACAATCGTTATCAAGGGGTTTACTTGAGAACATAAAACAATTGCAATTGGAATTCGAACCGGTATACGCTACAGTACACTAAAAATAGTATATTTCGGTGTTTTAACTCGTGTGATTGGCAACTTCACACTCGTTGCCCCCCCGTCGCACGTGTATCCGAACTATATTTTTCATCACAATGTGGCGGAAATTGGACTTTTAAGCACGCGGAGCGGGCCGAAAAGTTCACTTTTCGTCACAGCGTGATGAAATAGTTATTTTCATCACAAGGGCCGCGAGGTTAGAATCGCGGTTTACCGGGTCTTCTCACGAAAATACTATTGTCACACGGCCTAAATGGCAGTATACACTGAGAGAAAAACGACAAAGTTCTCAAACAAGTCTTACTTGTACCAAGAAAATAGTTTTTGGAAAATTATCAAAAAAGAATTTTTTTTACCAAACATGCAGAGAGTGCGCCGGAATGAAAAATTTTTGTCGCAAAAATAGATTTAGTAGTTAAAAAAAAAGTGCATTCCCTGTACACGCAAGAAATGTCATTTCTAGCACTACTCCTTCGTTATTCGATACTCCCATACGTATTTGCTCCCGAAAAATCTTCGTTTTATGCGAAACAAGGGATAGTAGTTTTTCGTTTCGGCTGTTTAATAATCATAGCCAAGAAATGAAGCCTTAAATGAAACAATAATAATGATATGATAGCAATCTTGTATCTTAGGGATAAAATATTTGTTGATAAATTTTCCTCTAGATGAGATATTTTCATCCTGAAAAGGCACCGTCTGGTGTGAATTATCCGCCTCTTGAGCCAACTATTTCGTTGCCGTCGAAAGCAGAACAATTATTCATGTTTGAGACTTTCAAATTCGAACCAAACAAATTCTTTTTTGCCAATTTTCAACTACCGATTTTGTTGGCCCAAAGAAGACTTGTTTGACAACGTGTTTGTTTTTCTCTCAAAGTATTGTGCACTAAGGGCGGAAAGTCATGTTTTAACTCATACTTTCTGCCCGAGGGAGCAACTTTCCACCCTAGAACGTCAAGTACTCACATTCCTCTCGCTTATCAGGAAACAAAGTCAATGTTACCACATCGTGACGTCACCCCATTTAAAATTGTACAGGTTTTGGTTATAAATCACCAAAATCTGGCAGCCCTGAGCAAAGTACAAACCTTCCGTGCAGGTGTGTGGAAAACAATATTTTTTGACGTTAAAGTGCGTCCGTAAATCGCTGTCTATGGCAGTTATGACAAAAATTGAAGAAAGGGACGGATAGTTATTCATTTAATTAAGCCCGGAGAAGTTGAATTGATCTCTTCCGGGTTTTGAACGACGTCCGATCAAAAGAATAACTAAAACAATACACGCGTTTATTTCAGCAACAGGGAAAAGCATTGATAAATTAAACATTTGATTCCGTTACAATACTTCCTTTTTCACAAAAGTTGTCGCTTGGGCAACTTCTACAAGAGCAACTGACGATTCTGAAATAATAATTTTTCAAAAATTTTCCCAATTTTCTAAATTAAAACCCTGACGGAAAATAAAAAAAATTCGGAAGAGGTTAAATTCGATCAATTCTCAAAATTGTGACCGCGGTCATTTCCAAGTTACAACAATCAAATCACTCTTTCTAATGATGGAATTTTTTTTTCTCGATTTCTTCTAACTCTTCTTTTTGTTTCTTTTCTTTCCTGGACCTCTCGGTTCAATGGGTCCAGTGGGACGCTCTTTCGTTCAGTCATTCTTGTTTGTGCATTTATTTATATTTGTTGTAAGTTGTGTGCCCGAGTGGAAATTCCGGTCAGTTTTTTTATCAACTTTGGATCAGGTTAGACCTGACTACTGATCAGGTATTGATCAAGTTGACGGATCCGGTCTTGATCAGACATGTTACGCCTCTGATGAATCCGGATTTGATCAGGACGAATGGATCCGGACTTGATCAAGGCAACTGTATGAAAAACGGAGGACCTGTTTGTCAGTATCAATAACAATTATCAATTAATCCAAAACAAAAGATAATTCAATGCTTTCACCGTAGGCCGCCTCTCTTAATGAATCTCTACTGTTATTCTAATGAATCTCTACCGATGCTGGGGATCGAACCGGGGACCCTATGATTGCTAATCCTATGCCCTAACCACTACACTATCGTGCTATTACTATTGAGTAAACTGTACATTGCCTATATGATTTGTATCGGGGTATTCATTGAATTCACGATTATTCCTGATCTCGCGGATATGCGTGTGTATTCTCAGAGATAAAATATGTTCAATTAAATGTTTATTTATTTCATTAACGAATAATAATAGTGATAATAACAATAACACAAATAAATACATAGACATTTGGTGATTTTTTTCTCAAGATCATTTGCGTGTAAGTTTGATACTCCTCTAATACGTATTTACGGTATCATCATCCCTCCCTTCTGTACATTTGAGAAGGGCTGGCTATTAATTAAATTGATTAATTAAATTAAATTCATTAAATTAAATTAATTTAATTTATTTCAATTATAGTATAATGATCCTTTTTAAAAATTTAAAATAATTATTGATAATGGTTGATGAAACTTAATTTGAATAGTATAATAATAGTTGATTGAATTATCCGGAAAACTTATTAAAATTAATGTCAGGTGGACCGGATCTGAATCTGATCATTTTCTCTTCAATTGACCCCGTTCAAATGCCGATCAAAGACATCAAATCCGAATTTGATCAAATTGGGGTCAGGCAGCCGACCTCAGGGTATCGTGCCTACCTGATCAGAACTTGATCTGAATCATCCTGCAATTTTTCGGATCCGATCTGCTGGATCAAAACTTGGTCAGGTTCTCATCAGGCATCATCTGATCATGTCTACCTGATCAGAACTTGATCTGAACCCGTCTGTAGTTTTTCGGATCCGATCTGCTGGATCAGAACTTGGTCAGGTTCTCATTAGGAATCACCGGATCAGTCGAATCTTACAAAAACCTGATCAAGTTCTGATCAAGCTTCAGGTGGGCCTGAAGCAATTTCCATTCGGGATGACTGTGAATTAATTAATCTGGATTTCTAGTTTGCTTTGACTAGAACAGTGGATTATTTGAAAATGCACTGATAAAAAGGATTTGTTATTGTTACCAAATGGATTTGGTTGAAGTCTAGGGTCTATTCGTTCTCACCAAATGTTCATTCGTTAATAGTTAACAAATGCATATTTGAGAAGCCTTATTTGACTCGATTTCTTCCAATACAATGCTTCCATTCGAAAATTATTAGTGTGAAATATGTGATGTGATCCTGAATACCAGTCGAGATGAGATTCGAGAGTAGATTACACGGAGAAAAATATTCAGTAAAAATTACGGAACAATTCACGTAATCCGTAATAGGGAATCGTTTTCCGGCAATTTGTATAAGCATGGAAAAGAAGAAATCTGAAACGTTCAGTGAACTTTCAGGTTCATCACCGAACAAAGTACGAAATTGTCACGTAATTTTTCTCGAAGAAGTAAAATATTACAAAAACTTCCCGACTTATTATGCCTCCAAAATCAAAAATTCTTGAACGTTCAACAATTTTTATGAAGCTTTTTATGAAGCGTTGGGGAAAAATTACGGAAAGACTTGTTGGCCCCACAGCGGTGAGTCATCAAACGGGTGGTTAATTTTTACGGAACAAATCGTAGAATTTACGTGGCGATTCGGACAATTTCAGTTCCGACTCACACTTTTTATTGAATTTTACTTCGCTCGCGGATTACGTTTCGGAACGCAATTTTTACATCTTTTTCTAGTAATTTTTATTGAATTTTTCTCTCCGTGTGGTGGAAATAATCGTAATTATCAATTAGCTGAATTTTTCAGAATTTGTCCGGAAGGGATTGCACTACATTCCAA